GCAGGAGGGGATGGGAAAGACCTTGACCTGAGACCCTGGCTCAGTGGCAGAGCCCCTGCTTGGCATGTAGGAGGTCCCAGGCTCAGTCCCCGGCATCTCCAGTTAGAAGGGCCAGGCAGGAGGGGATGGGAAAGACCTCCACCCGATACACTGGAGAACTGTAAAGAGGGGCTGTGGCTCAGTGGTAGAGCACCTGCTTGGCATGTAGGAGGTCCCAGGTTCAATCCCCGGCATCTTCAGTTAAAAGGACCAGGCAGGAGATGATGGGAAAGACCTCTGCCTGAGACCCTGGAGGGGCTGTGAAGAGGGGCTGTAAAGAGGGGCTGTGGCTCAGTGGCAGAGCACCTGCTTGGCATGCAGGAGGTCTCAGGTTCAATCCCCGGCATCTCCAGTTAAAGGGACCAGGCAGGAGGTGATGGGAAAGACCTCAGCCTGAGACCCTGGAGAGCTGTAAAGAGGGGCTGTGGCTCAGTGGAAGAGCACCTGCTTGGCATGCAGGAGGTCTCAGGGTCAATCCCCGGCATCTCCAGCTAAAGGGACCAGGCAGGAGGTGATGGGAAAGACCTCCGCCTGAGACCCTGGAGACCTATGGGAAGGGGCTGTGGCTCAGTGGAAGAGCCTCTGCTTGGCATGCAGAAGGTCCCAGGTTCAATCCCCGGCATCTCCCGCTAAAAGAGGCAGCAGGTGATGAGAAAGACCTCTGCCTGAGACCCTGGAGAGCTGTTGCCAGTCTGAGTAGACAATACTGACTTTGATGGACTAAAGGTCTGATTCAGTATAAGGCAGACTGATGCATGTTCATGTGTGTGTGACAGCAATAATGGACATGTACGTATATGACTTATTGAAGTCTGTGCAAGGGATGCATCATGGAGAAGAAAATGCCTTGGCTTGATACCCTGCTCTTGAGAGTTCTGAGTGCTTCGTGTACCACACCTTGTGGCCTTCTCAGGTAGCTCACTCCTGCTATTCCTGTTAGAGCGGAGAGAACTCTGGCTTGCCTGCTCCTGGTTTTCCTGGCAGTCTATCCACAAGCATTGGGGATTGGTTTTCGGCATGGTTCTGCTGTGCATATCCCCTCCGTCTTGCATTTTCACCGTTGTGGAGACAGTTTCTTTCAGTTGTCGGAGGTTTTCCGGGCTGTATGGCCGTGGTCTTGGCATTGTGGTACCCAGGGGTCATTTCGTAGAAAAAGAGGTGCAGGAGCTTATTAGCATAACTCATTAGCATAATGTATTTGCATATGCCACACCCCCTGGCATCACCGGAAGTGTGTCAGAAGGCAACACCCACCGCTCAGGCACAGACCTGTCCTCGCAGAGGAGGAAGAGGTTGTACCTGAATAAAACCTGGTCTTAAAGATGCCACTGGACTGTTTTGGACCGGGGGGGGGGGTCTCGTGACGTGTAGCTGCTGGGAGCAGGGGGCGGGGCATGTTGCATGTGCCCGCCCCCTGGGCTCGTTACTGCCGGAGCTCCGCTCCTGTGCGCTCCTGCAGGAAATGACCCCCGGTACTACCTGATGTCAGGTACTACAATGCCAAGACGACAGCTCTACAGCCCGGAAAATCTGGAACAACTAATGAACTCCGGCTGTGAAAGCCTTCGACGACATATACGGTTTCTTTTCGTCCACATGTGATTCAATAATCAGGATTTTCAAGGGAGGGCGCTGTTGTCACTGGTGGCATCACAACACCACCACCCCCATTTATTTTTTGCATGTGCTTATATCGATGTAGTGATATCATGGCTGCATTTTTTTCTTTGAAAAATGGCTCTAAGGGTTTGATAAAGCCTGTTGTAATTACTGTTGTAATGAGAGATGGTTTCAGGGGAAAGCCATGTTGGTTTGCGGTAGAACAGTTAAGAGAGTCCAATAAAGGGTTTCGAGGTATAATTTTGGAAAGTTCCTCCCCTGAACCTCTTGTTGGTCTCTAAGGTGCGACTGGGCCCAAATCTAACTGTTGTAATGATAGGTTTGCGGGTTCTCTGAATTCCCATTTTTCTTTTCCTTTTTTAAGTAAGTGTTTAGCGTCTTCCCTCATGGAGCTATGAGGAAAAAAGTATATCTCCTCAAGGGAAGAGACTAGAGACTTAGATTTACAAAAGCTGCTAAGCCTATCGTTACAATGGTATATTAATACATCAATATTTTAGTGCCTTTTTAAAAAAAAAAGTCAAAAACAAAACCACTCATCTTGGGTGAGGAAGAACATAAGAGAAGCCATGTTGGATCAGGCCAGTGGCCCATCCAGTCTAACCCTTCTGTGTCGCACAGTGGTCAAAACCCAGGGGCAGTCAGGAGGTCCACCAGTGGGGCCAGAACTCCAGAAGCCCCCCCACACTGTTGCCCCCCCCAGGTACCAAGAATACAGAGCATCACTGCCCCAGACATAAGAGAAGCCATGTTGGATCAGGCCAGTGGCCCTTCCAGTCTAACCCTTCTGTGTCGCACAGTGGCCAAACCCCAGGGGCCCTCAGGAGGTCCACCAGCAGGGCCAGAATGCCAGAAGCCCTCCCAATGTGCCCCCCCCAAGCACCAAGGGGAGAAGTTTGACATTGTCTACAGTCCATTAAAAAGTGGGGTGGAGGTGGGTGGAAGTGGGCAGGACCAAGGAAACCGACAAAGACATTATTTATGAGGAAAAAGGCAACTCAAAATCGGCTTCTAGAAGAGTTAAAATAGTCTCAAAAGAACTGGGGGGGGAAACGGGGGGACGGACTCTGAAGTGAAAACTAAAGGCACAGAACTGCATGTGGGAATGGGGATAAACTGTAGCAGTATGGGGGGCAAAATGGGTGAGGGGGGGGAACCATGAGGAAAAGGCCTTGGTCTCCAGTTCAGCCATCGCACTAAATCCGTTCTGCCGCTTCCTGATTTAAATGTACAAATATATATATATATATTTTGGCATTCCATGAAGCAAACGTATCAGAAATTAAGGCTGCTTTTGCATTCCCCACACCTTTTCCGGAAGCAGAATGCCTCCGGAATGATCAGCTACCTCCAGTTAGGTTCCTGTCGTCCCGGATGCCGTTCGGAATTCATCATCGCCCGAGAGCCTGAATTTTGAACAGTGCGGAGGGTGACCCCTTGACAGTGGGACAGCTTTTTTGGGGGGGAAGAAGTGGTTAAAAGGCAATTAATCTGTATTAAGTGATTTCTTTTTCCCTCCTCCCTTGCACACTGGGGGACGGGACATCCCTGCCGGCGGCGGTTGTCCCTTGAAGCCGGCTTCCGCTCCCTCTGAGACAGCCATTAACTCCATTTATCAGCTTTCGAGGGACTCAGTGCTAATCCCCCCCCCCCAAGAAAGACCTTGGAGAAGTCGTGGAAGTAGTGACAGACTTCGCGTTCCTGGGATCCCAGATCACTGCAGACAGTGACAGCAGCCATGAAATTAAAAGACGCCTGCTCCTTGGGAGGAAAGCGATGGCGAACCTAAACAGCATGATAAAAAGTAGAGACATCCCCCTGCCAACAAAAGTCCGCATGGTCAAAGCAATGGTATTCCCAGTAGTCATGCATGGCTGCGAGAGTTGGACTATAAGGAAGGCCGAGCGCCGAAGAATAGATTCTTTTGAACTATGGTGCTGGAGAAGACTCTTGAGAGTCCCTTGGACTGCAAGAAGATCGAATCAGTCAATCCTAAAAGTAATCAACCCTGACTGTTCCCTGGAAGGCCAGATAATGAAACTGAAGCTCAAATACTTTGGCCACCCAATGAGAAGGGAGCACTCACTGGAGAAGACCCTGATGCCGGGAAAGATTGAAGGTCAAAGAAGACGGGGACGGCAAAGGATGAGATGGTTAGACAGTGTCATAGATGCAACGGACATGAAATTGAGCCAACTTCAAAGGACGGTGGAAGACAGGAAGGCCTGGCGTGATGTGGTCCACGGGGTCGCAAAGAGTCGGACTCGACTGTGCGACTGAACAACAACAAAAAAGCTTGGGCTAGCTCCGAGCGATGAAATCCGCTCCCCAAAGCAGGGCAAAAAGCAATTTTGCCGGGATCCCCGGTGGTTAAGCGTCAGCCTCTCTTTCTTCTCCCCGCCCCGCAATCCAGATTTCATTTCTCTTCTCTCTGCCTTTGTATTTACCCTCCCCGGGAAGCCGGAGGGGTCCGTGGTCAATAAATACTTAGCCGAGGCCAGCGAGGAGAGAAACCTGTGCAGCTGGCGGTGTAAGAAATTACTTTTCTATTAAAAGCATCAAATTAGATAAGAACCTGGCAAAAAGCCTTGTGCTTTTTAAATCCCAGAGAGTTTTGGGGGCTTTTCTACCTGGTGTCCTGTGGTTGCATTTGAATGGCTGGACTTTTAATTGTTTCCACGGCTGAGTGCACCTGAATCCCTTAGCTGTGAGCCTCGGGCAGTGGTTTCACCACTGGGTTGGAGGTGGGGGAAAGGGGGGAATAGCCCTGCTCAAAATCCTAAACAGATGGTATATGACACCGGTCATCTTACACAAAATAAATCCAAAAATATCAAACAAATGTTGGGGAAATTGTGGCGCTACAGCGGACTTTGCTCCCTGTTGGTGGGCATGTCCTCGATCAAAAACGTACTGGAGGCAGATATTCAAACAATTTTCATTAATAACTAACGTAAACTTACGTTGTGATCTGGACTCCATCCTCTTGGTGACATGGCGTGCAACAAAAGTACAGAAACATTAATTTCTACCTTATTGATGTTAGCAAAAATAACGATTGCACAAAAATGGAAGCAAAATGGAAGCAAAAAATTTTCCCTAAAAAATGTCCCTACATTAACAGATTGGGAAAAAGAATCTGGGATTGCTTCATCTATGGGCATACTTCATATAACTCCTCGGCTTTGCTGTCAGAAAAATATCAAAAGTGGTTCCAGGTAGTATGGTTTCCTATGATCAATTATTTAGAAAATAGTGCGGTGGGGCTTCTGGAGTTCTGTCCCTGCTGGTGGACCTCCTGATGGCCCCTGGGTTTTGGCCGCTGTGTGACACAGAGTGTTGGACTGGATGGGCCATTGGCCTGATCCAACATGGCTTCTCTGATGTTCTTATGTCTGGGGCAGTGATACTTTGTATTCTTGGTGCTTGGGGGGCCACAGGGGGGGCTTCTGGAGTTCTGGCCCTGCGAGTGGCCCTGCCCCTGGATTTTGGACACTGTGTGACACAGAATGGATAGGCCATTCGCCTAATCCAACATGGCTTCTCTTATGTGTGGGGCAGTGATGCTCTGCATTCTTGGTGCTTGGGGGGCAGCAGTGCGGTGGGACTTCTGGAGTTCTGTCCCTGCTAGTGGACCTCCTGATGGCCCCTGGGGTTTGGCCCCTGTGTGACACAAAAGGGTTAGACTGGATGGGCCACTGGCCTGATCCAGCATGACTTCTCTTATGTTCTTATGTCTGGGGCAGTGATGTGTTATATTCTTGGTGCTTGGGGAGCCACAGGGGGAGGGCTTCTGGAGTTCAGGCCCTGCTAGTGGACCTCCTGATGGCACCTGGGTTTTGACCACTGTGTGACACAGAGTTTTGGACTGGATGGGCCACTGGCCTGATCCAACATGGCTTCTCTTATGTTCTTATGTCTGGGGCAGTGATGCTCTGCATTCTTGGGGTTTGGGGTGCAGCCATGGGAGGTCTTCTGGAGTTCTGTCCCCACTGGTGGACCTCTTGATGGCACCTGGGTTTTGACCACTGTGTGACACAGAGTTTTGGACTGGATGGGCCACTGGCCTGATCCAACATGGCTTCTCTTATGTTCTTATGTCTGGGGCAGTGATGCTCTGCATTCTTGGGGTTTGGGGCACATGCGGCCTTGGGAGGGCTTCTGGATGGGCCACTGGCCTGATCCAACATGGCTTCTCTTTTATGTTCTCAAAGCTGCCTTCTACTGAATCAGGCTATTGGTCCATCAAGGTCAGTGTTGTCTACTCAGACCGGCAGCTGCTGCACAGGGTCTCAAATTGAAGTCTTTTGCATAACGTTCTACCTGGTCCTTTTAACTGGCGATGCTGGGGATTGAACCTGGGACGTCCTGCATGCCAAGCAGATGCTCTGTTGCTTAGCCATGGGCCCACACATGCTCTGTCCTCTTGCCCCAAGGAGACGGTGCCCATGCTCCAGTCACGCTCCTTGCTTTGCTCGCTTTTGCAGTCTGCCTTTCTCAAGGCGGATTACATAATGTATGTCAGGGGTCCCCGAGATGGTACCCAGGGCACTATGACGCTCCCAGAAAGTGGGCAGGGCCAGGTGGGACTGTTGCCCAGCAAGGCTTCTGATTGGCCCCTTGGAGATTTGATTGGCTGTCCAGATATTTAGAAACGTTTCTTTGGTGGCGGCAGCCGCTGCCACAAAAAAAGGCACAACAAAAGCCAGTTTGGTGTTGTGGGTTAAGTGCGCGGACTCTAATCTGGTAGAATTGGGTTTGATTCCCCACTTCTCCACTTGTGACTGCTGGATGACCTTGGGCAAGCCATAGTTCTATCAGAGCTGTTCTCGGGGCAGTTCTCGAAGGAGCTCTCTCAGCCCCACCTTCCTCACTGGGTGTCTGTTGTGGGGAGGGGAAGGGAAAGGAGTTTGTAAGCCACTCTGAGACTCCCTTGGGTAGTGAAGGGCGGGGTATAAATCCAGACTCTTCTTCGTCTTAAGAGCCTCACACTGCTGGCATGAGAAACTGGAAGCTTAGGTGACTTTTTTATTGTCCAAAGCTGTGTAAAAGTCAATTTGGTGTCGTGGTTAAGTGCACAGACTCTAATCTGGGAGAACCAGGTTTGATTCCCCACTCCTCCATGTGCACCTGCTGGATGACCTTGGGCAAGCCATAGTTCTGGCACAGCTGTTCTTGAAAAGGAGCAGTTCCTGTCAGAGCTCTCTTGGCCCCACCTCCCTCACAGGGCATCTGTTGTGGGGAGGGGAAGGGAAAGGAGTTTGTAAGCTGCTCTGAGACTCCTTCGGGTAGTGAAGGGCGGGGTATCAATCCAGTCTCTTCTTCTTCTTAGGGCCTTCCTCAGTGGTCAATATTACTATTGTAAAAATGCACACATCCAGGCCTCTATGCCCTGGACTCAGACTTTGATCTGCTGTGAATGTCAAAATTCCTCCGCAGGACTTAGCTCAGCTTGATTTAGGAAATGCAAGCATTCAGGGTGAAGTGCTGGTCGGCAGTGGCTCATGTTGGTGTTGTGGTTAAGTGCGCGGTCTCTAATCTGGGAGAACCGGGTCTGATTCCCCACTCCTCCACATGCACCTGCTGGATGACCTTGGGCAAGCCATAGTTCTGTCAGAGCTGTCCTTGAAAAAGAGCAGTTTCTGTCAGAGCTCTCTCGGCCCCACCTGCCTCACAGGGTGTCTGTTGTGGGGAGGGGAAGGGAAAGGAGTCTGTAAGCCGCTCTGAGACTCCCTTGGGTAGTGAAGGGCAGGGCATAAATCCAATCTCCTCTTCTTCAATACATCACTGAAGGTCAGCTGCAGCAGCCCTTCTTGGCTGGCTCCACCTCCCGTGACAACCGTTTTGCGCCCACGCCCACCACCCTGTTTCAGAACTGCACAAAGGGCCCATGGGCTCAGAAAAGCTGGAGACACACCCCCCTGGTGTAAGTCAAATGCAGTCGACAGGATGTGGTATCTGAGAAACAGTGCAATCGGGTGAGGATTGCAGAGGTCTGAAACGTTGGTCTTCCACAGTACCCAGACTAAACCGGTTGTCGCCTCTTTCCTTTTCCTTGTCCCCTAGAGTGCTTCCGGGAGGGGGAACAGTTTCCAGAGGGGCTCCAGCTACGGCTCATCCACCTCTTTGGCGCCGTAATCTCAGGATCCAAGGTGAGCCTTCTCTCGGTCTGTGATTGGCTGCTTTGAGCCACAAGGGAAGATCTGAGGATTCTGTCGGGATCGTCTTACGAAGATGTCAAAGTCATTGCTCAGACACCTACTTTCTGGCCTCCGGGGGTTTGAGGGTTAAGTTTTGTCTGTTTCCCAGAGAGCCAGTTTGGTGTTGTGGTTAAGTGCGCGGACTCTAATCTGGGAGAACCGGGTTTGATTCCCCACTCCTCCACTCGCAGCTGCTGGATGACCTTGGGCAAGCCATAGTTCTGGCACAGTTGTCCTTGAAAAAGAGCAGTTTCTGTCAGTGCTCTCTCAGCCCCGCCTCCCTCACAGGGTGTCTGTTGTGGGGAGGGGAAGGGAAGGGAGTTTGTAAGCCTCTCTGAGACTCCCTTGGGTAGTGAAGGGCGGGGCATAAATCCAATCTCTTCTTCTTCTTCTTCTTCTTCTTCTTCTTCTTCTTCTTCTTCTTCTTCTTCTTCTTCTTCTTCTTCTTCTTCTTCTTCTTCTTCTTCTTCTTCTTCTTCTTCCTTAATAAAACTATCTTCAGCTGCCTCCTAAAGATGGAAGGGCAGGGCAGGCACACCTCCCTGGGGAGGTTGTTCCATAATCCTGGGGCTCCCACTGAAAAGGCCCTGTTTCATCTACCCACCAAACAAGCTTCTTTGGTTGACGGGAAAGTCAGGCGGGTGTCTCCCTGTGATTCTTGGGTAGGAACATAAGGGGGGAGAGACAGTCCTTCAGAGACCCCGGTCCCACGCCATGTAGGACTTTAAAGGTCAGAGCCAACACCTTGAATTAGGCTCTGGAGTGGAATTGGTAGCCAGTGTGATGGCTGTAATATCGGGGTCCTTAACTTTTATCCCGATCTTGTCTACTCAATTTTGCTTGCTCTACCATCTGTGCACAACCAAATATTGCTAGTTTTCTGCATCAGTGCTAATGAGAAACGAACGCACGTTCTTCTGCGGTGCCTAACTTGGTGTTCCTCGAGTCGTATCTGACCCGCTCTTCTCCCGGACAGCACAATGCCCTGGCGCTGGTCACGCCGTCCTCGGTCGAGGTCCTCATGCTGGTTCTCCGGAGGTGGTGCTCTCCGGCGAGCGGGCCTCCCAGAGATCTCCGGTTACTGCAGCTGACCTTGAAGAGCTTGGTCGGGATGGTCCACGTCCTCCACGTCAGCAGCCCCAGCCAGCGCCAGGTGGAGATCCGGTCCATCTTGGGCAGCTTCTTCCAGGTCCTCAACTCAGACCAGCCCATGGCCTCGCTGGACGGCTCGCCGGGACCTCACTGGGAAGAGAAGCTCATCGCCCTCCGGGTGAACATGCTGGGTAGGTGGCCATGGAGGGGGATCACGTGCAATCCGTTCGGCGTTCGAATCCAGAGGTGCATGCCTGAAGACGTCCCTCTCGAACCGTGCGACGCTTTGCTCGCTTCGGTTGCCATAGTTGTTGGGGGGAGGGAATTCCTACGGGGAGGGGGGGCGTTGAGTGAATGGGTGAGAGAACGGGACCTTTGCTTCTAGAAGACATAACTTTCTTTACAAGTGGCACCTCCATTCCCCAGGGAAAGGTGTCCTTGAGAGCGTCTCTCTACCAGCTTGAGCAGTAGATAACCAAGCCATATTTATTTATTTATTGTTTATATTTATATCCCGCCTTTCCCGATATCTGGTTCAAGGCGGCTAACAACATTAAAATGGCATAAACAGCCAAGTTAAAACAATTCATGAATACCATACCAGTTAGAAAGGAAGAAATCGAGCTACTTGCAGGAAAGGTAGGGTTGCCTGGCCCCCTCGGCATGCTGCCAGGGGGATTTGGGGGGCGTTCCAGGGGTGGGCAGGGACGCACGACGTCCCTGACTCAATGATGTCATGCATGATGATGCTCTGCATTTGGGGCAAAACTCTAGGCGGGTTTTGGCCTAAAACCATAGTAAAGGTAAAGATTTCCCTTGCTTGAAAGCCAGTTGAATTCGGCTCTAGGGGGTGGTGCTCATCTCCATTTCCAACCCAAAGTGTCAGCGCTGTCCGAAGACGTTTCCGTGGTCATCGTGGCCGGCATGACTAAACGTCGAGGTGCACGGAACGCTGTTACCTTCCCACCGAAGTGGTACCTATTTATCTACTTGCAATTTCTTTGCTTTCGAACTGCTAGGTTGGCAGGAGCTGGGGCCAGAGACGGGAGCTCACTCCGTCACCCGGCACTCGGGTCTTGAACTACCGAGCTACCGACCTTCCGGTCGGCAGCTCAGCATCTTAACATCTGAGCCACCGCGGCCCCTTAAAACCATAGAGTTTCGCCCAAAAAGTAGAGCATCGCCACACGACGTCTCAACATGATGATGTCACTTCTGGATGGCCTCGGCCTCGGCTAAGATCAGATCTCAGAAGCTAAGCAGGGTCGGCCCTGGTTAGTATTTGGGTGGGAGACCACCAAAGTAGTCCAGGGTTGCTACACAGAGGAAGGCAACGGCCAACCACCTCTGTTTGTCCTTGCCTTGAGATGGGTGTCTCAGGCTAGCCTAATATCAGATCCTGGAAACTAAGCAGGGTCGGCCCTGGTTAGTACTTGGATGGGAGCAGAGGTCATTTCCTGCAGGAGCGCACAGGAGCGGAGCTCCGGCAGTAAAGAGCCCAGGGGGCGGGCACATGCAACAAGCCCCACCCCCCTGCTCCCAGCAGCCCTCAGTCAGAGCAAGAAGCAGCCAGGTAAGCTGCAGAGCCCCCCGGTCCAAAACAGTCCAGTGGCACATTTAAGACCAAGTTTTATTCAGGTAGAAGCTCTCCCTCCTCTGTGAGGACAGATCTGCACGTTCCCCCCCCCCAATAGCTAGCAATCCAAAACAGTCCAGTGGAGCCTGAGCGGTGATGCAAGGGGGTGTGGCATATGCAAATAAGTTATGCTAATGAGTTATGCTAATGAGCTCCTGCACCTCTTCTTCTACGAAATGACCCCTGGATGGGAGGCCACCAAGGAAATCTGGGGTTGCTATGCAGAGGCAGGCAAAGGCAAACCACCTCTGAATGTCTCTTGCCTTGAGAACCCTACAGGGTCACCGTAAGCTGACTGCAATTTGATGGCAACAAAAAAAAAGTGCCTTAAAAGGGGGCTGCAGATTCCAAATTTTAGCAGAGCGGGGGGAAACCTGCGGTGGTCTTCTTGATCCTCCTACGTTCCTTCAGCAGCCTGCGCTTCGACTTTGGGGATCGGGTTCCGAGCGCGACAGGCCTCGCCGCCGCCGGTTCTGCTGTTCCGGTGGCTTTTTAAAACCCCTCCGCCTCTTCCTCCCCCACTAGATGCTATTCCGGAAATGCTGAACTGCGACGACCGGCCCGTCCTGCAGGCGATCTTCCTCAGCAATAACTGCTTCGAGCACATCATTCGGCTCATCCAGAACAGCAAGGTAGGACAGTCCGGCCCTTGTCCCGGAAGTCCGTCTCTTCGGAGCTTGGGTCCTCTCGGGAGCTCTGATCCCGGTTTCTCTTTTTCCCCCCTCTTTAAAAAAAAATGATATTTGTTTCACTGAGTGCAGCGGTGCCGCTTTGCCCAGAATTTGTGGCTACGTCCATAAGAGACCACCGTTTGTAAAAATAGAATGAAGTTCTGCAGTTCCGATGGAACTGTAAAAAGAAAAGAAATTGCTGCAAACGCAGTTTCCCCAGCTGCCTTGCCGGGAGCCACACAGTATGTGTGAAAGAGCCACATGTGGCTCCCGAGCCACAGTTTGGCCACCCCTGGCCTAGGCTGATCAAGAGACTGGTCCATTGTTCACCCTCCAGAGGAATTGGTTGGCACCTGTGTGAGGCAGGATGCTGGACTGGAGGGACCCTCCCTGGTCTGATCCAGCAGGGCTCTTCTGAGGTTCTTCTCAGGGGAAGGCCTCGGCCTCTCGGCCCTGTTGCTGGCCCTCCAGAGGAACTGGCTGGCCCCTGTGTGAGACGGGAGGTTGGACTAGATGGACCCTCCCTGGTCTGACCCAGCAGGGCTCTTCTGCTGTCCTTCTCAGGGGAAGGCCTCGGCCTCTCTGCCCTGTTATTGGCCCTCCAGAGGAACTGGTTGGCCACTGTGTGAGGCAGGATGCTGGACTAGATGGACCCTCCCTGGTCTGATCCAGCAGGGCTCTTCTGAGGTTCTTCTCAGGGGAAGGCCTCGGCCTCTCGGCCCTGTTGCTGGCCCTCCAGAGGAACTGGCTGGCCCCTGTGTGAGACGGGAGGTTGGACTAGATGGACCCTCCCTGGTCTGACCCAGCAGGGCTCTTCTGCTGTCCTTCTCAGGGGAAGGCCTCGGCCTCTCTGCCCTGTTATTGGCCCTCCAGAGGAACTGGTTGGCCACTGTGTGAGGCAGGATGCTGGACTAGATGGACCCTCCCTGGTCTGATCCAGCAGGGCTCTTCTGAGGTTCTTCTCAGGGGAAGGCCTCGGCCTCTCGGCCCTGTTGCTGGCCCTCCAGAGGAACTGGCTGGCCCCTGTGTGAGACGGGAGGTTGGACTAGATGGACCCTCCCTGGTCTGACCCAGCAGGGCTCTTCTGCTGTCCTTCTCAGGGGAAGGCCTCGGCCTCTCTGCCCTGTTATTGGCCCTCCAGAGGAACTGGTTGGCCACTGTGTGAGGCAGGATGCTGGACTAGATGGACCCTCCCTGGTCTGATCCAGCAGGGCTCTTCTGAGGTTCTTCTCAGGGGAAGGCCTCGGCCTCTCGGCCCTGTTGCTGGCCCTCCAGAGGAACTGGCTGGCCCCTGTGTGAGACGGGAGGTTGGACTAGATGGACCCTCCCTGGTCTGACCCAGCAGGGCTCTTCTGCTGTCCTTCTCAGGGGAAGGCCTCGGCCTCTCTGCCCTGTTATTGGCCCTCCAGAGGAACTGGTTGGCCACTGTGTGAGATGGGATGCTGAACCAGATGGACCATTGGTCTGATCCCACAGACTTCTTACATTCTTAATGAAGAAGGCTGGGTGGTCGGTGTGTGTGTGTGTTAGAACATCTCCTTCCGTGGAAATTTTTAGGAAGAGAATAAACAAAGCCAGGATCCCTCTGTGATTCCGTAAGAAGAGGACCTCCTGTATCGGAACGGTTGTGGACTGTGGGTTCCGTGGGGTCTCCTCCACTTGTACCACATACTGTGTTGCCACAAAGCGTTGCGTGCCAGGCATCGAGATTGTTCCTCTGGGCACTGTTCCCAGTGCAGGTGGTGAGCCAAGGTCCGGCTTTGGACTCGTATGTTTTCCTTTGCATGCCAGGCCGGGGCACTGAAAGCCTAATAAATCTCAGGAGTTTGTAAATAAATGACAAGATAGATGTGTGCCACGGACCCGATGGAATCTTTCCTTGACGCTCTCTCCGGAGTTATTTTTAGCTTTTCCCTCTTTTAAGCAAACCAGGTGCATATATTCCCCCCCCCCATGTTCCACGCTATTTTAAGGGTGTCATTAGAGCATATAAACAGAGAGAGAGAGACCAAGGGTCCAAAACCTCAATGGCCTGAAATATCTCCCCCCCCACCACCTTCTCTTCCTCTCTTTTTGTGGTTATTAATATCCATCCCGCTGAAGAGTTCTGGAGAACTCCAAAGTGCCAATTTTTTGCTCTTAGTGGCCTGGATCCAACTATGCATGCACAGAAGGCACACAGAGTTTCTCCCTTGATCCTTCGGTCCTGGCAGCTTCCTCCCACCCACACTGAAAGATCATTCCTGGGGTTACGTGTGAGCCAGAGGCTAAAAAACCGTGTGCTGGCTCACACTAGCTCAGCTTGGAGGGAACACTGGTTAGCAGAGTGATTAAATAAAGCTACAAACGCGGGAGCGTCGCTTTACCAGGTTACTCAGCTTACAAAGCTACACAGAGCCGTGTTGCAAGTTTATTTTTATTTATTTATTTATTTGCTTGGACTTTTACCCCGCCCTCCCGCCGAAGCGACTCAGGGCAGCTTACAACAATTTAAAACAGCATACAATATAAAACCGGCACTTACAGATATAAAATACAATAAATACAGTAAAACTAAATAAATACGGCAGCGTCCTATGGTAAAGTGCTAGAGTTTAGAAGATAAACACTCCTCTCTTTATTTGAGGAGTACCTTTTGGATAGAAAGGACACGATAGGTGACTGACTTACTAGCTAAAGGATGGAAGCCAATGGCGAGATACCCGTCTGCCTCTTGGTGCAGGGAGAGAGATTGTCTTCATCCATTTTGCCAGTTTGGTGTAGTGGTTAAGTGCGCGGACTCTAATCTGGGAGGACCGAGTTTGATTCCCCACTCCTCCACTTGCACCTGGCTGGATGACCTTGGGCACGCTGTAGTTCTGACAAGAGCTGTCCTTGAAAAAGAGCAGTTTCTGTCAAGAGCTCTCTCAGCCCCGCCAACCCCACACGGTGCCATCTGGGGAGGGGAAGGGAAAGGAGTTTGTAAGCCCCTCTGAGACACCTTTGGGTAGTGAAGGGCTGGGTATAAATCCAATCTCTTCTCTTCTTCTACATCTTTGATCTGTCAAATGCTTTCTGCCTCGGGAGGGGGGGGGGGTGATGGGGGGTGAAAGGCAGCTGTTCCCAACTCTTTTCCAGCTATATCGGTCCCTGGACTTGGAGGGTCTCTTTCCACCTAACTCCTTCTCTCTCCCTTGCACCTCTCTCTCTTCCCCCTTTCCCTCTCCTGAGAGTGACGTTGCTTATCTGACCTCCCCTTCCCCCGTTTCTGACAGCTCTACCTAAGTGCTGAGTGCAAATCCTCGGGGAGCGATCTCACCACCTCGTTGCTGACCGAGATGGATATCCGTCAGGTATTGCTGGCCGCTTGTGATGCGGTGGATTTGCACGCGGGATGCATGTGGGATGCTTTCCGTGGGAGTTCTGCGCACCCCCTTGCACCCCCCCCCATTTCTGCACACTTAAATGAACAAAGTTACGACAGGAGAATTCAGAGCCTAGAAGGTGGTAGGTGGGAGGGACACACATGAAAACTGCTGTATACTGAACCAGACCCCTGGTCCATCAAGGGCAGTATTGCCTACTCAGACTGGCAGCGGCTCTCCAGGGTCTCGGGCTGAGGTCTTTCTCATTACCTGCTGCCTTGAATCTGGGGCCTTCTGCATGCCAAGCATATGCTTGACCACTGAGCCACACCCCCTTCCCAAACACCATAACCAACAAGGTCAGAATTGTCTACTCAGACGGGCAGCTGCTCTCCAGGTAGGCTTACCAAGTGCCGGCGGGGGATCTGCGTGTCTTGGCGGGATCCCTGCTGCGGGGACGGCGACACGCGTTGCACCCGCCGTCGCCAGGAAGTGACGCTACGCGTTGCTCTGGCAATGGGACTCGTTGCCAGAGCGACGCATAGCGTCACTTCCTGGCGATGGCGGGTGCAACGCGTGTCGCCGTCCCCGCGGCAGTGATCCCGCCAAGACACGCAGATCCCCCGCCGGCACTTGGTAAGCCTATCTCCAGGGTCTCAGGCAGAGGTCTTTCACATCACCTAGTGCCTGGTCCTTTTAATTGGTGGTGCCAGGGGTTGAACCTGGGCCCTTCTGGATGCCAAGCAGATGCTCTGCCGCTAAGCCGCAGCCACGACATGCAGTAGAAGAGGCCAGCCCCTTATTTGTACATTGCTTCCTTCCCAGCTGAATCAGGCCTAGCAGGTTGGGGGGGGGGTTAGAATTAAGAGACAACCAGGTGGGTGGGTGGTGGATCTTGTCAAATTAACTTCTTGAAGGACAGATGTCGTAAGTCAGTCTGTGCTGAGTGATGGCACAGATTTCTCAGACGAAGAGCTACCTGCTAGCCCTGAGCCAGTAATTGAACAGCCGGCTGCAGCTGGCTCTGAGCCAGAAGAACAAGAGGTCAGGTTGCCGGCTGTTTAGGAGTCACAGCCTATACCTTCTAGCAGTAAACAAGTCTTCAGCAGCCACTTCCAGCCCACCTAGCTCACCCACACCCTTGCAGCACTGACGCTGCCAGAGACACTCAGAGTTGCAAGAAAGGAGAAGAAGTGTGAGACTCATGACCTGTTGTTAGCTGTCAATTGAAGAGAAGGATGAGTAGTTTCAAGGAATTGGCTGGGAGTTTAGCTCAGTAAGACTTGGCTGTAAATTCAGCTGGGAGAAGCAGCAGTTTGTGGACGCAATAAGTGCACTTAGCTACTGAGCCATCAACCTTGCTTCTACTGGACGTCTGTAACCTTGAACTGGACCTGACAACCGGCTTTTCTGGAACCCTTGACCTTGGACTGGACTTGGATTTGTTGCCTGGAACTCCTTGACCCTAGACTGGACTTTGTTAAACCTGCTCTCAGGAACCCCTGACTTTTGGACTAGACTTTGGTTACACTCTGCGACCTGGCCTGTGACCTGCCCAGCTGGACCCCAGCCCATGCCTCCTGGGGAAGCGACATCAGTACATCACTCACAGCACAGACTGACTTGCGACTTGCGACACCAAATTATATGGGGGGTCTATCTTCACTGCAAGGAATAAATCCGCACCCAAATCAATAGCTGCCACCACCTTTGCAGTCCAAGAGCAGTAGGACTCTTATGAGTTAGTAGGGAGGGATCTAACACAGGAGGACTGCCAAATTCTTTTTCTGCCACCTTCCGATCTGTAACCACTCAGTCCCCTTCAGAGGCGGATTCACCATGAAGCAGGCTAAGCACGTGCTTAGGGCACCAGGGCCAAAGGGGGCACCACAAAGTTGGGAAAAGGGTGAAAAGCTTCGTTTGTACAGTATATTGTGTTATCATATGAATACATTTTTGCATTGCTGCAACCTGCATTGTATATCTGGTCAGACAGGTCAACAACTAAAATGGACTGGGGGTCAGTGTGGAAAGGAGGGGGGCACCAAGATTGGTCCATGCTTAGGGCACCAGTGAGCCTTAATCCGCCCCTGGTCCCCTTCCCTCAGTGATTTTTGTACATGCTGTATGTGACTTGACCAGAAAGACTAAGTCATTAGCTTAGGGCCAGATAAGATTAGACAATCTCGCCGAATCAGAACACCGGGGTTTACTTTCACAACAAGTTGAGCCTGTTCACAAAATGCAAAGAACACAATGGCAGTCAAGGGCAGACAAAGGGTACGAAAGCTGGCATGCGCGGCTAATAGCGGCAGTTCCTCGAGGCAACCCGACAGAGGCT